TTGAAAAACTTTAGTCAAAAAACTTTACAGTTTTCTTGTATTTTCTTGTGAAATAGTCCATTCATGATCTTTTTTTTTTCAGTACATCGGAAATAGAACAGAAATACTAATTAGATTTCTCATAAATCACATGCTATCATAAACTATATATATATATAAACGTATACACATCTTTTAGGTTAACTATTTTCAAATAATATCTAATGTAGCCTAATTTATAACCTGGTTTTTTTTTATTTAAAAAAAACATCATAATTGAACATTATGCAATTGTTTAAATTAAATAATTTACTGTAAAACAAAAATTCAAATTTTTTTACATTAGTATTTTTCTGGATGCACTGAATAAGAGGAATTTTTAAATTAGAGTTATATGTGGTTTGATTACCAGAATACAGTTTAATTTCAATGCAGTGTGGTAGTTAGTTTACTGTTTAACACTTAATTATCAACTTGTTTATCGTTAATGAAATTTGTTTAGTTAAAGATTCACATGTCATTATAGAGTTATGGAGGAGATTTGTGAGTTTCATTTGAAATCACCAACTGTTCAATAATGTCACACTACTATTGTTAATTTGTAACCCCCTGAATTCCTCATCACCTTTAGCATTCTCTTTTTTAAAGTTATTTCACTGAATGATACTTCCCGAATCATATCTCTTCGAACCATAATCTTCTCCATTACTACTAATACTTCTACTACCTCTACTACCATGGGATTTGAATTGACAATTGCGTCTCTGTGCTAATGCGGTATGGCAACCACCTAACCATTGACAGCCTCGACGAGCTTTGTTTTGTAGTGTAGGAATAGGTTGGAAGAAAGTTAGGGGCGTCCAGACCAAAACATGGCAGCAATCCATGAAATCATTGACAAGTGGACTGAATCATGTCAGTACATGTCGACTACCTGGTTGGGGTCCGCAAGATGATAATAATCGATGGTTAGATACCCTGAATGATATGCCTCAAAACCGTTTGCAATGATGCAGGTGCATTTATTCTTTGTGTTCTCTCAAATCCCAATCTTCTGGATTCTTCAGGTCAGGTCGTAGAGATAAGAGAGATATTAGGGGGTGTAGGAAGAATTTGATTTTGACCAATTTGGTCTCGCGTGCTGTTACGGTTATGAGGGCGGTTGTCACTTCCCGGCTGCCTACACCGTGGAAGGTTGTTTCTTGAGGAACCTCGAAAGGAAGGTATATTAGCGTTCGTCATAGAGACCTCGGAGCGTGACCGCAGAGCCCAAGGGACAACTGCTTGAGGCCGGTCACACACGGCCTTTTTTGTAAAGGTTTTTTGAGGATTAGCTCCGTTCTTAAAGGCCCTTAGTGGGCACCCTTACCGCCGGAGACGGAAATCCGTGAGGTCAGGTGAGGTGTGACATTTTTAGGGTCGACCTTTTCTAACCCTTCCTTGCTTGTGAGAAGGCAGCATCGCTGCAGATGCTGGTTATCCGAGGGAAACACCTTACTGCTGTCACACCCCTCTGCAGTCAGCGGTACGATTTCGCCCTCAGACCTTGGGTAGCTGTTTTTAGTCTCATCGTTCTACAATCGACCAGCCTGGCATGGTAGGACCTGCAGGAACATAAGTTCCAGCCAGTATAGCTCGGTTGGGTCATCACGATAGGCAATTCCGATCACCACGTCAAGGTAGCAGCTACGGTCGGGACTATTGGATTTGAGTTGACAATTACACCTCTGTGCTGATGTGGTATGGCAACATGAACTGATGTACTTACGTACGAAGTCCTACGTTGCATCTGACTGACTGACTGGTTTGGCAACCTGAACGGATGTACGTACGTACGAAGTTCTACGTTGTAACTGACTGACTGAACTTGAAGCACTGAATACACACTGTTGATAGTCCCATACTAGGACCAAACAGTCATCCAATGGTGGTGGTCTAACACTAATCGATTCATAATTCCAATGAGAATTTCCATGATCTGTTCAATAAGTACATGAACTGAACGATTAAAATTCCGGTCAAACGTAAGGAAAACCTCTCGGGAAACATAACATGTTGACAACTGTTTATAGAAGTATAGCTTTGCAGAGAATGGTTTTTTGTTTTAAACAGCTGCAAGTATTTAAGTCTGGACCGTGAAGTCTGAAACGATGACAAGATGCTGGGATAATCGTTGATTTATTGTATTACTAAAGAAAACATTAAATGTGTACAGTCTTTGTGCTTTCCAATAGCCCAACTGACTGCTTGAACTAACTACTGATAAATTGAATTTCATAAAATGCGTTGTGTATACGATTCCAGGAAAATATCTTTCACTGTTAAAATTATATTAGGATGGCACAGCAGCTGATCAGATAGATTATCGATAACTTTAACAGTTGCGAAAAATGTTTTAGTACAAATAAGGTTCTTTGGAAGAAGTTTGTAAAATGAAATTTGAGTAAATATATACAGTAAAGACAAAGTATTTCTATCAAACATTTTAATGAATGACCAAAATTATTGATGTTTATATCCGACTTGTATTTATGTGTCACCAAAACACAAACCAAGTGATATGTAATGTGAACAAGTGGTCACAACACTTGGTATGTATATGGTATGGCAACATGAACTGATGTACTTACGTACGAAGTTCACCGTTGCATCTGACTGACTGACACAACACTTGATTAATCAGAATGGTATTTATCAGTTTAGTTAGTAAAGATGGCAGTTAGTCTGATAATTATTTACTGGTCAGTTTGATTGTTACATTGACTTTTCTCCTGTCACCATCAAACGTTACTTTCATTTTAATATTGCTAAATCTTTCACATTTTATTCAACTTTAATGAACATAAAGATGAAATTCTTTTATTGAGAGAGAAAAAAATGTTCAGTTTGCGAATGAAAATATTATATTGATAATTCATTCATTATGCAGTGATTTCATTCGTCTCTTGTTTTATTCGATATTCTGATTTGTAGTCAGACTTTTAATTACAACTCACTGACACCTGGCTACTATGTGAGACGTATATATATATATATATATATATATATATATATATATATATATATATATATATGGCTAACCACCGACTGCCGCGATGAGCTATGTTTTGCAGTATAGGAATAGGCTGGAAGAAATCTAGGGGCGGCCAAACCAAAACATGGCAGAAATCCATGAAGTTAGTGACAAGTGGACTGAGTCATGTTGGTAGATGTAGGCTGGCTACCTGGTTGGGGTCCACGAGACGATAGTCACCGATGGTTAGAGACCTTGAACGACATGGCTCAAAATCGTTTGCAATGGCGCAAATGCATCCACTCTTTGTGTTCTATGAAATTCTAAGCTTCTGCATTCCTCATAATCTCTACGTTTCTCCTTCTAAATTTATCTTACTGAATTATACTTCTCAAATCATATCATTGCTCCATAATCTTCTCCATTACTGCTAATACTTCTATTATTGTTATCACTGTTGGATTTGAACTGACAGTTGCGTCTTTGTGCTGATGTGGTATGGCAACCTGAACTGATGTAGTTACGTACGAAGTTCTGCGTTGTATCTGTCTGTCTCCGTCTGTCTGTCTGTCTGTCTGTATATATTCACTACAAAATATGCATGAAATATTATTATTATTAAAATACGACATTCAATTACAATGAAATGAAATCTATAGTTATAAATAGACATATGAGAATGTAACAACCTAAAAATAGTATAAATCTTTAATCTAACTACCTACCATTTCAGTGTAATAGTTACTTAATAAAGTTTTTATAAACATTATACGTACTGATAAGAACAAATTAGTGTTTATTCTAAAACCAATAGCTTAGTGGATAGTGAATGATTTAGTATTGAAAATATGAATGTATTCAGATGGAGATGCACTCAAGAGATGAATCCTACATTATAAAAAATGAAATAGATTCCTCAATTTTACTGATTGCTATAATTCATTCAATATCCTAAGAAAATTATTTGTAAGTCTAATTGTATTGGTCGTCCTGACTGTCAGTGTCACTGCAAATGTTGTTTCGCATTATCTGTAATGTCTTATAACTCGGATCCCTAGTCTAGGATTCTCATCCTCTTCTGGACTCGTACCTCATACTTTCTGAATGTTTGTAGAATACAAGTTCTACTTCATATCAAGTCTTCTTCTTTTACTCAATAGTGTGTGTTTGGGGGGTGGTTTGGGACAATCGGATTCGAGTAGTCTGTCGTATCGCCCGGATCCTCGTTCCTCGCTCTCGTTTACCGACTAAAGTGAACTTGTTTAAAGTTTGAAGCATATCAAATTGACGCGTTCACACATCCTCACTCCATCAATTTGAATTTTTTTTTCCTGTAATGAGAAATAAAAAGGATACGTTGGTACTTGGAGTTTTTTTTCTTTAAAATTGAATACCGTCTGTAGTGAAGAAGAACACAGGTGTGGGCAACCGAATTGTATTTATCTCAAATTACAGAGTTAATTGGTAAAATAGGAAAACCACATAGTAAATCGTTAATTTGCAAAATATCAATCCATCATATTGAACTGGACTGTTCCTGTTGGCAAAACATCAACCCATTGTCTGACATTTCACTGTTCATGCGTTTCATACAATTTCCATTGTGTTCCCGCTCTTCCTTACTTCATCTTCCCCCATCTTCTGCTGCCAGACATTACGTTTTTACTCGCGTCATATACTACTTATAAGTAGCGTGCACCACACGTCTAGTAAATTGTTATTCAAAATGCACTGTTGTTGTTATTTTAAAAAAATTGATATGAATATTATTTTTCTCTTTTTCAGACAGATTACTTAAATCTGTTCGAGTGTTGATTGAAACAAAACAGAGAAGAAGAGATTACTTCACTCTATAATAATAATCATAATAATAAACTTTTGTCGTCAACTAGTTATACTAACTAGAACAGTTTCTTATCTATACTAAACACAACAACAAAGTGACCAACTGAGAAGAAACGACTATTTTTCATTTTAAATCAACCAATCAATCAATCAATCAAACACAATGTTACACTCATCTCAACAAATAAATATTTGTGTATTAGGTAGTGGAAATGTTGGTAAAAGTGCATTGACATTACAATTTATGTATGAAGAAGTAAGCATAGTGTCAAGTTATTTTCTGATTTCAGATTATTTAGTTTGTTGAAGATTATGAACCGACAAAATCAGATTCTTATTCAAAAACAATTCCTTTAAATGGTTATCATGTTGATGTATCAATTTTGGATACAGCTGGTAAGTAAATAAACAATAGAGAGTAATAATAATAATACTGAATTTACATTTTAACCCTTTCTGTTTTAAACATGAAATAGAATAGTAATGAGAAGTTGATCGATCTAATCCAATTCATACAAATAAAGGCTTGGTATACATACATATGACATTGACCATGACTCAGTAATCAGTCATTTATAAATATATCTTATTTCTATAAAAGTTTTAGTCCATGGCACGAATAACCCTAATGGAAATGTCTATTACTATGAAGCTGGATAACGCGCATCAGTTTACCTTAGGATTACAAGTACACTTTACTGACAAGTGTCGAATAATGGCCATGAGGAAAACCGAAGTCCAAGTTTAATATCAACTATTTCCAACCACCACTACCTCATATCTTAACATCATTGACTCACTTAGACTACTTAGACTACTACACTGGGACTTGATTTGAGAGAGTACAATAAAAACACGAAGAAAGGATGTAGCATACACCAACTATTAATAATCACTGTCCATCAATAAATCAATTATAAAGTAGGAAGGATTTGATTTTGACCAATTTGGTCTGGTGTGCTGTTACAGGTTAGAGACCTTGAACGAAATCGCTCAAAATCATTTACAATGGCGCAAGTGCATCCATTCTTTGAGCTCGCTCAAATCCTAATCTTCTGGATTCGTCAGCACCTCTACCTTTATCTTTCTAACCTTATCTCACTGGGTTATACTTCTTGAATAATATCTTCAAACCCTAGTCTTCTTCATTACCATTAATACCTCTACTATCCTCCTTAACTGGGGATTTTATTTGACACTTGCGTCTCTGTGCTAATAATGTGGTATGGCAACCTGAACTTATGTACATACGTACGAAGTTCTACGTTGCTACTGACTGACTGACTGACTGACAATTATAAAGTAAAGAATCTGTCTTTTCAATTGATTGACTACTTTAACAATTTACAAGTATGTAAGAGATTGATTGGTTGGTTTACCATATGCTTTTAGTTCTGTATTTATTGATTCAAAATATTATAACTGTAGAATGAATTGCCATGAATTGTTATTGACATAAAATATCTATTTACTATGCATTATAATTCTGCTGGTCGCTTCTAGAATAATTTGCGGTTATGTAGAACACACTAAACAATAATAAGATATTAAGATTAGAAATTTTAAAGATTACTAGTGGAAATGGTTGGTGGTTGGTTGAGGCAGCTAGGATGTGCATTTCGTCCTATCTAGGACTCGTCATCTATGTGTGCCAGGATTCCAAAGTTGATGTCAACTCATGAACTCGAACCAAGTATCATCCATTTCAAACACCATTGTGTTATCCACTTAGCCACTGGTTTGTATTGGTTACTTAAGTCTCCCCGCTGATACCTAGGCCTAAATTTGATCAAACTCTTTTGGTAAATGTGCTTTCTGTGACTTTAGTGACAATATCGAATCAATGAGCATAGGATGAACATCAATACTTACTTACTTACTTACGCCTGTTACCCCCAATGGAGCATAGGCCGCCCACCAGTTTTCTCCAACCAACTCTATCCTGGGCTTCCCTCTCCAGTTCTGTCCAATTTTTCTTCATTCCTCTCATATCTTTCTCTGTTTCTTGGCGTAATGTGTTCCTTGGCCTTCCTCTTTTCCTTTTGCCTTAAGGATTCCATGTGAGGGCTTGTCTCGTGATGCAGTTAGGTGCTTTTCGTAGTGTGTGTCCTATCCACCAACTCCACCGCTTCTTCCTGATTTCCTCCTACACTGAAATCTGGTTTGTTCTCTCCCACAGTACGTTGTTGCTGATGGTGTCTGGCCAACGAATCCGAAGTATTTTGCGTAGACAACTGTTAATAAACACTTGTATCTTCTGGATGATAGCTTTGGTAGTTCTCCAGGTTTCCACTCATGAGCATCAATAGAAAGGTTCAAATAATTCATACAAATCAGTTAATCTTAAAACTTTCGGTTTCTTTTAGTTTGTTTTCATCATAGATTGACATCATATAGTGAATTGTTGACGAATGTAATAACTTTCTTTATTCCAGTGGGACATTTCAGTAGCATACACCTCTATAACTCCAAATGAAAATGTACCTCAAACCTTCAGGTTTGACAGACAAAGTTTATAAAATTATATTTTTCGATATTAAAATATTTCAAATGATCCGCCAAAATCTTTCTTTTTTTCTTCTCTTTTTCAAAAGAAAATCGACTTATTACTTAGCACTTAATTCGCTTATTATTATAATCGGTTATTTTTACTTAACCATTCTATCCAAACTAAAATTTGATATATATATATATTGCAAAACAGTTTGTAAATTATTTCAACTAAGAGATATTTCACCTTGAAAATGACTTATTATCAATTGTAATCGATCTCCAATATAGTTAAGTATAAATAACAATGTCAAATCATAGATAGTGTAATTAAATCACATATATTGAAGGGTTTTATTATCATTTCGCTAGTTGTTAAACTGACTAGTAATTCATATTAAACTGTAATTTGGATAGATTAAAAGATTATAAAACTATATATGTTATTTATAATCTATATTTTTCATTTAAAATCATCAATCGATCATTGTTAGACTGCCATTAGAAACCGTGGGAGCACTGGACGGGCGTTGCGTCCTAGTGTGGTCCGAGCTACTTATAAGTAGTATATGAGGTGAGCGTCAACGTAATGTCTGGTAGCAGAAGATGGGGGAAGATCAAGAAAGGAAGAGTTAGAACACAATGGAATTTGTATGAAACGCATGAATAGTAGTGACAATGGATTGATGTTTTGCAACAGGAACAGTCCAGTTCGATATGATGGACTGATATTTTGCAAATTAACAATTTATGATAAGGTTTTCCGATTTTACTGAGTAACTATGTAATTTTCGTTAAATACAATCCGGTTGGCCCACCTGTGTTCTCGTTCACTACACTAGTACCGGGACTCATCAGCAGTGCGCATTTATGACCCGCTCCCTTGGGAATCGGACCTAGGAACCCCGGTCTCACGCGCAAACGCCTAACATGCAAACCACTGACCCAGCATCTAAAAATGTTAATGTCTAACTTGAGGCCAATATTTTCGATACCATATTAATTAGACTGATTCCTCTGTAATTGTCACTTATAAAAGAAAAAACTGGTACTTGCACCAACAAACTATGATTCGATCAGTAATACAAAGAACAAGATGAGGATTGAATAAACACCGAAAAATCAATAAAATCAATCAACACCACCTCTGAATACATATTGATTTTTTCTTTATTGTGTTTTAACAAACTACTAATCAACAACAGCCAGATTCGAATCAATCAATAACTGAATGTATGACCATTACACTGACCATAAATATATAGCATGAGGTTAAGTTATTATTATTATTAAAACCTAATTCAATGAGTTATTAAGTGAGTAAGGAAAATCAATTTTTTTATTTTTTGTAAATGTCACGGGCACTTCATTCAACTTAACACTGCTCATTATTATTATTATTATCAGTTCAGTTCGTTTTAATTACATAGTTATTGATTTTCAGTGGTGTGTGTGTGATAAGCACGGATAGTCAGAAAAAAAGTATGATCTGTATTTAGACTAAAATGGTCTTTGTGACTTTAGTTATTTTCTCTAGAGAGAGCACCTACTAATGAAAATTATTAGAACAAATTTGTGGTATTTACTAATAATTTCACATCTTAAAGATTCATTTGTTTAGAAAAAAAATATGATAAAATCTTTTTGAACAAAATAACTAAAAGAATATGATATAACGTAGATTATAAAGGTTTTATTGAATTATGCACAAAAATAACTTTGTCGCTATGTGTAAGCATTTGAAATCATCGATCGATCATTGTTAGACTACACCATTAGAAACCTGGAAGCACTGGACGGCCGTTTCATCTTGGTATGGGACTCATCAGCGTCAGTGCGCATCCATGACTCCTGCACCTCGCGGGATTCGAACCCAGGACCTTCGGTATTGTGCGCGAACGCCTAACCATCGGACCACTGAGCCGGAATCCAATGGTGTGAATGTCTAACTCTGATTGATCAAGGGATTTTTAATGACCTCACCCATTTGTCTTTGGTAGTTATTACTCCTACACCCTACAGGGTTGAACTCCACTGGTCACGTTTTCTCACTATTATTATTATTAGATGTAAAAATTGTTGAATCCGATTGTGTTTATCACAGCTGGATCTTAGTTAAATAACCATGGAAAACCAAAATGAACTGAGTAACTAGTTTTGTAGAACAACTCCTCAATAGTGCACATTCACGGCTCTACCATGGATCGAACCAGAAGACCTTTACATCTTATAGGAAATGCTTATTGAATGGTGTACAAGTCTAGTGTTATGCCGTCCTTCCTGATTCTTACTGACTGTCTAATGACGATATATCTGTGATATAGACTAAGAAATATTTTTATCCATCAACTGACCTCTTGACTGTAGTCAAGGAATATGCTGATGCCATAGTCCTATTCGGTGAAGACGCTGACCAAATGCTGAGTCTTCTGACTACCCTAAACAACAATGAAAACATGTTCTGGATGCGATGCGAAATTTCGCTACATGATTGGGTTGCATCGACTCCTCAACTAGTGGTAGGGAGTGAAGTAGTCGAACGTGTTGATCACTTCATTTATCTTGGTAGTCTCATCAGTGCTGATGGCCTGGTGACTGACGAAATCTCTGCACGCATACAGAAAGCTCGATTGTTTTTTTCCAACTTCGTCACCTATGGCGCAGGCGAGATATCCGTTCGCTAACCAAAGGACGAGTGTACTTTGTAGCAGTTCGCCCCGTCCCACAATATGGATCCGAAACATGGCCGGTGAGAGTAGTGGACATTCGTAGATTGCTTGTCTTCGATCATAGGTGTCTTCGAAGCATTGTTCGTATATCCTGGGACAACCGTATAAGCAATTCTGTCGTTAGGAAACGAGTACTAGGTAAGGATGGCAAATCAATAGATGAAGTAGTGAAACTTCATCAGTTGAGGTGGTTGGGACATGTGTTACGTATGCCTAACCACCGACTGCCTCATCGAGCTATGTTTTGCAATGTTGGAAGAAAGCTAGGGGCGGCTAGACAAAAACATGGTAGAAATTCATGAAGTAACTGACAAGTGGACTGAGTCATGTTGGTAAATGTAGGCTACCTGGTTGGGGTCCGCGAGATGATAATAATCGATGGTTAGAGACCTTCAACGACATGACTCAAAATCGTTTGCAATGGCTCAAGTGCATCCATTCGTTGCGATCTCTCAAATCCTAATCTTCTGGATTCGTCAACACCTCTACTTTTGTCTTATGTACTCATGTACGAAGTTCTGTGTTGTATCTTCATGTCTGTCTTTCTGTCTGTAGTCAAAGCAGTAGAAATTGTCATCTATTATAACAAACATTTTCATTCATTTTTCATCTATATGTAAACTGAACTATATATAAGCAAACAATTAACAGTGAAATACTTGAACCACAAATAAATGTAATCTCATCTCGATATACCTACCTAGATTGGCTTTGATTTTCCTTAATACATTCTTGGTTTTCTTCAATTTTACTTCAATATTGAAAGCAATAATAATAATAATAATAATAATGTTTTTCAAGAAATCTATATCATATTAAAAAGTACTTTTCATATTTACAATAATAATAATATTAATACATGTAACAAGTATTTTTAAATGTTCAATACACTTTATACTTTTAATAAATAAATAGTACATTAATTAAAACAACAACTAGAACACATTAAGATGAACTCATGTGATTATATTATTATTATTATTGCTATTATTATTATTACTATTATTATTACTAATAGTAGTAGTAGTAGTCGTTATTCTATTGGAAAAGGAATATTTTTTATTCCAAGTTTAAGCGCTTATTTACTTTTGAAAAAGGAAAAAAAACTCTTTTTGTTGAACTTTTAACACACGTGTATTGATTGATATGAAACAATATAGAACAATGTAAATGCATTTAAACAAAGCAAAAATGAAAAACAAAATTGAATGAAACCAATTGGACTTTCTTCTTCTATTATGGTAAAGAAATAAAATTACTGTAAACATTCCAAACGAATCATTTATGATTGATTGATTAATTGTACAAAAAATAAAAATGGCTAAATCCATTATTAGTGGTGGTGGTGGTGTGGTGCTGTGTTCTCTTTCACTACATTTGGTGTCGCTGCCTACGCAAAGGATGAAGATTTCATGGCCGAAGGATTTTGAGGATGGAGATGTGCGGAGCTTTCTGAAGGAGTTTGAGGCCGTGGCGGAGCTGGTGGGGGTGAAGGAACCGAAGGCGAAGTTGGTGGTGCTGGGGACGCTGCTGAGAGGAAGGGCGAAGGCTGTATATGACAGCTTGGACGGTGCTGGCGGGAAGACGCCATGGAAGACGGTCATTGAGCGGCTGATGGTCGAGTTCGACAGCCCGGTGGACAGAGAGGAGTCGTTGCAGAAGTTCCGGTTCGCGAGGCTGTCGGCTGATGGTGATCCGCTGGTGCTTGCTGTGCAGCTCACAGGGTTGCTGCGCCGTGCGTTGCCGAATATCGACGACAGCTTATTAAAAGGGGGGACGAGTGTGGTGCTGTGTTCTCTTTCACTACAGTGGTTTTTGTTTAAAAGAAAACACAACTAAATAACAAGTGCTTCCAGGTTTCTATAATGGTGATGGTCTAACATTGATCGATTTTATGGTTTCAAAAAAAAG